GGAATGAAGTTCAAAGTCTTCAGCAACAAGAAATGGGAGAAAACCCGAATCATAATTCGGGTTTTCTTCCACCCTCTTTAGTTTCTGACGAGATTGCCGATACCATTAAGTCTTTCTTTCCATTGGAGGCTTCGAGTGAGACGCCATCTTCTTCCATACAGTTTCAGAATTATCCGCAGGATTTGTTGTCGAGGACCAGTAGCCACAGTCAGGATCTTCGGCTTTCACTTCAGTCGTTTCTGGAGCCGATTCTTTTGCATCACCACCACCACGCACAAGCTGCTACAGATCAGGCACAGCACAGTGAGCCTGTTTTATTCTCTGGAACCAACCCATTAGCTGGTTTTGATGGGTCTTCTGCTGGATGGGAGCATCACCACCAACATCCGGCGGAGATCGGAAGGTTCCAGAGATTGTTTGCTTGGAATAATAGCGGTGCTGCTGCTGACACAAGCAGTGGCGGTAGCGGAGGAGTAGGAGGGTTTCTCTTTGGCACTCCTACACCGCAGCTACTGCCGCAGTCTTTTGGCCATAATAGCCATTTGTTTTCTCAGAGGGGACCCCTTCAGTCCAGTAACACGCCCTTGGTTCGTGCTTGGATAGACCAGCCAATTTCCACAACCGACCAATACCAACACCATCAACATCACCATCATATCTCAGAAAACATCCATCACCAAGCTGCTTTATCTGGCATTGGATTCACCACACCTGGTGTATTCTCTGGTTTTCGCGATCCAGCACGAATTCATGGCGACAAAGATGAGCACGACAGAATCGCCAATAAGCTGTCCTCTGCTTCATCCGATTCTCACCATTGATAGAGTAAATCAAAGGAAATCCAAAGTCTTTACCTGTATCAGGTTAGCACTTCTTTCCTATTTCCATTTAATTTTCAATGACCATATATTGCACTTACAAGCTCTTCTGCTTATTTAGGTGATTGATCTTTCAGCACTAGTTGATCATCGATCGATGAGTGTTGACTTTGAACTCAATGAGGAGATTGTACAATGTATTCAAGAGTCAAAGAGCGGTTCGAGAGAAGATTTTGGTCACTTTGAATCAATGTCCTATTGCCGTGGGAAGAAGAAATCTGGGTGGATATCAGGTTTTTCGATCCCCGGTTTTATTTAGTTTCTATCAGTTGGCTGTGTTGTAGCTTAATTTTACATTCTCGTGGGCTCGTAGAGCTTAACAATGGTTTCCTTCTTTGATGGATTTATCCTGTGTTACATGTTGCCGGTCAATTTATCTACAATGTTTGCTACAGTTTCTCAGTGTTGCTACTAAGATGCGTGCCTAGATTGTTTAGTTGTGATTTGATTTTCCCTTCCATTAGGACCGACACAGTTTAACATATTTGCTAAATCTTTTGAAAATTATCATGAGATAAGGTAACCCCTGATCAGCTAATATGGGAAAGTCTTTCCAAATCCTAAGAAGTTGTCAATTTCTCGTGGATGAAAGAAAACGAACTCCGCTTCTAGTTTCCTTTTGTTGCTTTATTGCATATGGATTTGATCTGGTAGCATTGAAAGAGGAATCATTTTCTGAAAACAGTAGGATATTTGGATAGTGGTAGCCGATTCCACCGTCAGCGTCTACCTGGCTGAAAACAATGTATAACTTCCCCTTATAACTCTTTTTCCTTTCAGTGTTCGTTTTACTAAATACCGGTCTGTTTTAGATGCCTCAGTTTAGAATCGACTCTGTTTGAATCAAGAGCTCGTTATAGAAACAAAGAACCCGATCCGTTGTATTAATTAAAATCGAACAAAAGAGTAATGAATCAATCACCGTCCTTGGCATCACAATTGCCAAAATTAGCAGAACTCAGCTGCTAGATGCTTCAACATGAAAGACGGGGTTGGTCCGAATACTGTCCCGAAGCATACATTAGGATTGAGACCAGGTTGTAGGACACCCTAACGTCACATAACACCAGTCAATGAGGGCTTGTTAGCATAATAGAGCTAGTGGGGCTATAAGTGGAGTACCATCTGCAGCAAGTGCAGGGGGGGTAACCATGAAAGTGGGGAATGGTATGAATGTACAAATAAAAGCTCAATTATGGTATTGAATAGTAGAATACACTGTAGATATTAGATACCACCAACATTTTGGTATTTTGCCTGTCTGTAAATGGTCCCTTTGAGTCTAGCTGGAAATTCTTGTATTTCTTTTTCACCATAAAAATAGATACCAATAATGCATGTATGTATACTTCGGCTTCTATTGATATTTGCTGTGTGGTTTTTGGCTGTGGAGTACACATTTTAACACTTGGTTTTTATAGTAACACCAATAAAACCATAATAAAGGTACCGTACCCGTAACTTTTATTCGATTTTATTGTAAAATATAGGATTTTTTTATATAGTGAGATGTTAAAGTTGGGATTTTTGAGGTGGAGGGGTGGTTGGATTGTTGCAGAGGTTCTTGTTGGGGGCTTAGCTATGATGTTGCATAATTGAATGGTGCAATGCAAGAATGAATAATTGTGTTACGATAATTAATGCATAATGGAGTAATGAGTTGGAGCATTATGCGACTTTCTAAAAAAAATAACAAGATCAAAGCCTTTTTCTTATTTTTAATAAAAGTTGGTTACCTTTTATGGTCGCTGCTATAGGTTGTTTTTTACACCGGTTTTGGGCCTTTCTAGGTGTTTTGTGCTTTAGCTGTTCAGACATAATATCTGGGAGGTTTTGAATCGGGTCGGAGATTCGAATATCGAAATCTGCAATCTCGTGACATCTTAATTTCATACGTGATGTTGGTTATCTTAAGTAATGTTCATTTGACTGTGTTCCATGTACCCCTTGTGAAAAAGTATCAAGGAGGTAGCAAATTCATGATTTTTACATATGTAATGTGCGTTTCTGATTTGCTTGCCTGCCCGCCGTGAGTCTTCCTCGGGTGAATAGGCCCATGGCCTCGCGGCTATCCGAATTCTCTATCCAGCTCCAACCCCACAGTAAAGCGATCTACTGTTAGAAAACACAACACCCCAAGGATAGTAGATTGATTTGGTTACCAGCTTCTGATTTTCTGGCTTGCCAAACAGGTAGATTATAGGCAAGCGGATATTAATGGCTTTGAAAGCTAGCAGAGCTGCTACCCTCTATTAATTACTAATCTGCAAGGCTTAACTCTCCGTTAATGTAAAAAGAAGGATTCAATCCTTCATTTCCTCGTAGATGTCGAGATCAAAAGCCTAACTATATTGAATGATAATTAAAGAAGAGTAGGTTAATAGTGATTATTGTTTTCTCCATGGAGCTTGGATTTGAGACTGGGCATTGCACCATGAATGTAAATAGCTTAGTGTGCTTGTTGTTTGCTTCTTCTTCATCATTGTATGGCCCTGGAATATATATATATATAAAAGTATTCAAATTATAGCGTTTTTCACATATAGGTGTTCAAACTTTTTTGAATGATCTAGATGTCTAACGTTATAAACGTTACCACTTTAGGTGTCTTGACCATGAACGTCGTTAATTTTTTTGTTAAGTGATACGTGTCACATTATAGTAATTTTAGAAATTGTATTCAAAATTAAAATTATATATATTTAGAAAAACAAAAAATTCGAAATAGCATCAAAGTTTTGAAAACTCTCATTTGAACTCCTAAACCCACACGGCCCATTGCCCTTTGTTATTGACAAAGTTTCACCCGACCCGGACTTCCCTTGACGATCAATAACCCTATGAAATTGTGATCAATAGCGTTTTGTACCCGCTAACCATAGGTTGAAAGGTGCGATGTCGACAGTCAATCGGTGGTAATTGTGGCGCGTATGATTAGGAAAATGACATGGACTACGTCTGTGATCGTGGTCGTGGTGATGGTCGGCAATGGCGACAATGACATGTTAGAGTAAGAGATTTAGGATTTTTATGGATTTGAGGTTTCTATAATAATATTCTTATTTTAAAAAAATAAAAATATCAAAATTTGACATGTGTCATGTAACGGAGAAAAATATCATCAATTACGGCTCGGACACTTAAATAGTTAATGTTTATAATTTTAGACACTTGAATCATTCAGAAAAAGTTTGGGAGACTATTTGTGGGAAAAAAAGTATAGTTTGGGGACTTAATTTAGAAACAAGTCACACACATATCTATAAACAATATTTTTGAGTTGTACTTAGACTTTTAAATCAATCAAATAGGGGGACTGAGCTTCAAGAGTCAGAAGAATAAGGGACCGAGGGAGAAACTAAGTGTTTTATCAAATTAAATAAATCGTGATTTATTTTTTTATTATATAGATAAAATAAAATATAAATATTTTTACATTATAATCTGGAAGCCACTTTAAAGAATTTTATTTTATAGTATCAACAAACTTCTTATTAGGCCCACAAAAATCAATGTATTTTGAAGCAAGAGGGGCCAAGGTACCTTCAATTATTGTTGAAATTTTGATGTCAATTCACATACACTTGCTAATTTTTTTTATAAATTATAGGAAAATATTCAAAACTAATAATAGATCATGCAAGCAAAAAAAAAGTATATTTTATATGAAAAATAAAAAGAATGAAATAATTATATGGTGAAAGAGAATATTAGTGATAGATGCCCCAAATGGGGGAGGGGGGACCCTAACATTTTTGTAATATGTAACAAAATCTTGGCATGTTATATGACAAAGAAGTATGTTGTCATCCATGAAATTAAGGGACAATTGGTTTTATTGGAAGGCAAATTATTATTATTATTTTTCTTTTTTCTTTTTATAATAAATGTTAAAAAGATTATTTGTTCTTAGCTAAGGTGGGTCCAAAATGTAAAGTTTTAGATAGAATTTGCTTATTTGATCTCTATCTTCCATTTCATTTCGTCTATTTTCCCTTTAAGTTAAATTTTATATTATATAGTAATTTAATCTTAATTTTTTGCTGGGAACTGTTCACGTCTTGTTTTTTTTTTTTACGAGCTTCTGAGCTTTGGGTGTTTCTCTGAACTTTAAAAATCGAGTCTTTTTGGCGGTGTTTTATGTATGAAAAGAATGGTTGAAGAAGATGAAACAACCCCGAGGTGTAGCACCAGCAGTGGAAACAACAGCAGTATCTGTAGATCTTCCAAGAAGAAGAGGCCTAAGAAAGTACCCCGGAGAGCGCTCGGTGTGGCGCAACTCGAGAAGATGAGGCTAGAAGAAGAACAGAAGAAAGATCTAATCTTTAGGCCATCTTTTTCTGTTGTCTGCAATGGGAACACTTTTGGTGTTCCTTTGATTGATGGTCATAGACCTTGGGGTTTGATGCTAAGGGGACAGCAACCTTCATTTTCAATTGTGAGAATTACATTGATTTGCCGGTGTGATTAATGAAAATTAGGGTGAATTGATGGTTCTTTTGTTTTGATACGCAGGTGAATTTGTCATCAAGAACTTCGTCATCAACATCTGTAATGAATTTTCAGATGGAGCTCCCTTCAAACCAAAGCTATTATAAAAATTTTAAACCTTTGTTGCCTGAACATGATAAGGTATACATGCATGCATGCATACATACATAATGCCTGTTGAAATGTCAAAGCTTGAAAAATTGGTTCAAGTTAGGCACCTAATATTGCAATGTCAAAATTAGATGCAACAATGTCAAAATTAGGTGCAATAATGTTTGAAAATTAAATAGGTAAATTTTAAACTTTAGTCACTAAACTTTAGGGTATTTATAAGATTAGTCATTAAGTTTCAACTATAAATACCCTAGCTCATTTAGCTTCAAAACCATCCCAAAGCATTCTAGCTTTCTTCCAATACTAGAGAGATTTTAGAGAGTTTCTTGAGAGTTGTTTTTTCCTTTTTATCTAGAGAGAATTATCATTGTTTTCTCCTTGATAGATCGAGAGAGGTTGTAATTCCTATTTTCTCATAGTAAAATTCTTCTACCGTTGCCTGTGGTTTTTACCCTAATAATTTTTAGGGGTTTTCCACATAAATTGTGTGTCTCTTTTATCTTCATTTTTTATTTTCTCAAATTATCAGTTGCGATTTTGCTCTATCCGATAGCTGTCTTCCGCAACAATTGGTATCAGAGCTAGATTAGAGTGTGTAATATCTGCTTATTGTCTTTGTGGTTGCCACCAAAAGGTGGATCCTCTAACATAAGAAAGTAAGAAGTTATTACCCATTCTTTGAAGGTTCCAGAAAACTATTCACGATAGTGAAATAGTGGAGCTATCCGTAAACGAAGCAATGGCAACGAAATTTGATATTGAAAAGTTCAATGGGAGAAATTTCTCATTGTGGAAATTGAAGATGAAGGTCATCTTGAGGAAAGACGGTTGTCTAGCAGCTATCAGTGAAAGGCCAGTAGATTTCACAGACGACAACTAATGGATCGAAATGGACGGAAATGCTATGACAAACTTTCATCTAGCATTAGCAGATGAATTATTGTCAAGTATCGAGGAGAAGAAGACAGCTAAGGAGATATGAGATCATCTCACCAAACTGTACGAGGCCACATCGTTGCACAATAAAATTTTCCTTAAGAGAAAATTGTACACTCTCCGTATGTCAGAATCTACTTCAGTGACGAAGCACTTAAATACACTGAACACTTTATTTTCTCAGCTTACATCCTTAAGCTGTAAAATAGGAGAACAAGAACGTGCTGAACTTCTACTTCAAAGTCTACCGGATTCATATGATCAACTCATCATCAACTTGACAAATAGTAATGTCACCAGTCTAGTCTTCGATGACGTTGCAGCTGATGTTCTACAAGAAGAAAATTGGCACAAGAACAAGGAAGACTGACAAGTAAATCTGCAACAAGCAGAAGCGTTGACAACGATGAGAGGGAGATCAACAGAACGTGCCCAAAGCAGTAGTCATAAACATGGTAGATCGAAGTCGAGGAGCAAAAAGAATTTAAAGTGGTACCACTGTGGAAAGAAGGGTCACTTGAAGAAGGATTGTTGGAGTCTAAATAAAAACTCTAATCCACAAGGCAATACCGCAAACACTTCAAATGATGGAGATGCTCTATGCTGTGAAACGTCAACCACCGTGGAAGGCAGAAAAAGATTTGCAGATATATGGCTCATTGATTCGGGAGCGACATATCACATGACCTCAAGAAGAGAATGATTCCATCATTATGAACCTGTCTCAGGAGGATCTGTGTATAGTTGCAATGATCATGTCTTAGAGATCGTTGGTGTGGGAACCATCAAATTGAAGATGTATGATGGAACAATTAAAGTTATTCGAGATGTGCGGCACGTGAAAGGTCTGAAGAAAAATTTATTATCCTACGGATTGTTGGATAATAATGCTAGCAAGATTGAAACACGGAAAAGAATCATAAAGGTGTTCCGTGGAGCGCTTGTGGTGCTAAAAGGCGAAAAGATAGCATAAAACTTGTACATGCTGAAGGGAGAGACTTTGCTAGAAGCAGAAGCCTCTGTTGCCTCATGTAGTTCAGATTCGACAATGCTATGGCATCAGAAACTTGGACACATTCAGAACAAGGAATGAAAGTCCTTGTGGAGCAAAAGTTACTTCTTGGCTTAACAAAGGTATCACTTTCTTTGTGTGAGCATTGCATAACAAGTAAGCAGCACCGGTTGAAATTCAACACATCAAATTCTAGAGGCAAAAGTGTTCTAGAATTGGTTCACTCTGACGTATGGCAAGCACCAGTAACGTCCCTAGGTGGAGCAAAATACTTTGTCTCATTTATTGATGACTACTCCAGGAGATGTTGGGTGCACCCTATTAAGAAGAAGTCAGACGTGTTTTCAACTTTCAAAAACTTCAAAGTGCGGGTAGAACTTGATTCTGGAAATAAAATCAAGTGTTTCAGAACAGATAATGGAGGAGAATACACAAGTGAAGAATTTGATGACTTTTGCAGGAAAGAAGGCATCAAAAGACAGTTCACAGTGGCGAACACTCCTCAACAAAATAGTGTGCCAGAGCGGATGAACAGAACATTGTTAGAAAAAACAAGAGCAATGTTGAGGGATGCAGGCCTAGAAAAATCATTCTGGGCAGAAGCAGTCAATACCGCCTATTATTTGGTGAATCGAGCTCCATCAACTGCACTAAAGCTGAAGACACCAATGGAGATGTGGACTGCTAAACCAGTTGATTATTCAAACCTCCATGTATTTGGAAGTATTGTGTACGTGATGTACAACGCCCAAGAAATTTCAAAGCTGGATCCAAAATCCAGGAAATGCAAATTCTTGGGGTATGCTGATGGAGTAAAGGGGTATCGCTTGTAGGATCCTACTGCCCGCAAAGTGATCATTAGCAGGGATGTTATCTTTGTAGAAGATAAGTTACAAAGAAAAGAAGATGATGATAGCGCTGAAAAGTAAGAGACTACACAGATACATGTGGAAAATGAGGTTGAACAAGGAGATTCTTCTGAAGCAGAACCAGCACATGATGAACAAGAACCAGGGAGTTCTGAAACTCCAACAACTCGTCAATCAGATCGTGTGAGAAGACGTCCCAATTGGCACTCAGATTATGTTATAGAAGGTAATATTGCATACTGCCTTTTAACAGAGGACAGTGAGCCATCAACATACCAGGAGACAATACACAACTCAGATGTTTCACTGTGGATGATGGCGATGCAAGAAGAAATCGAAGCCCTTCATAAAAATAATACATGGGATCTTGTGCCACTACCACAAGGAAGGAAGCCAATTGGTAATAAATGGGTTTTCAAAATCAAGCGAAATGGTGACGATCAAGTGGAGAGGTATCGTGCAAGATTGGTGGTCAAAGGATATGCTCAAAAAGAAGGTATTGATTTCAATGAAATATTTTCTCTTGTGGTTCGACTAACAACAGTTCGAGTAGTTTTGGCAATGTGTGCTACATTGGACTTACATCTAGAGCAGCTAGATGTTAAAACAACTTTTCTTCATGGAAATCTTGAAGAAGAAATTTATATGCTCCAGCCTGAAGGTTTTGAAGAAAAAGAAAAGAAGAACTTGGTTTGCAGGTTGAACAAATCTCTGTACGGTCTAAAGCATGCGCCGAGGTATTGGTATAAGAGATTTGATTCTTTCATTATGTGCCTTGGATACAACAGACTTAATGCAGACCCTTGTGCTTATTTCAAGAGGTCTGGTGATAACGATTTTGTTATATTGCTGTTGTATGTGGATGACATGTTGGTTGCAGGACCCAACAAAGATCATATTGAAGAATTGAAGGCACAACTGGCTAGGGAATTTGAAATGAAGGACTTGAGATCAACAAACAAGATTCTAGGGATGCAAATTCACCGAGACAGAAGTAATAGGAAGATTTGGCTTTCACAAAAGAATTACTTGAAGAAAATCTTGTCACGATTTAGCATGCAAGATTTTAAGCCAATTTCTAGCCCTCTTCCTATTAACTTCAAATTATCCTCCAGTATGAGTCCTAGCAGTGAAGAAGAGAGGATGGAGATGTCTCGAGTACCGTATGCATCAGCAGTGGGAAGTTTAATGTTCGCTATGATATGCACAAGACCAGACATTGCACAAGCAGTGGGAGTGGTTAGTCGGTACATGGCGAATCCAGGCAAAGAGCATTGGAATACAGTAAAGAGGATCCTAAGATACATCAAAGGGACCTCAAATGTTGCATTATGTTACGGAGGATCAAACTTACTAATTAATGGGTATGTAGATTCTGACTATGCAGGGGATTTGGATAAAAGCAAATCTACTACAGGATATGAGTTCAAAGTTGCTGGTGGAGCTGTAAGCTGGGTTTCAAAATTGCAGTCAGTTGTGGCTACGTCCACAACAGAGGCAGAATATGTAGCAGCTACACAAGCCAGTAAAGAAGCAATTTGGTTGAAGATGCTATTGAAGGAACTTGGGCACAATCAAGAGTATGTCTCTCTGTTTTGTGACAGTCAAAGCGCCTTGCATCTAGCAAGGAATCCAACATTTCATTCAAAGACTAAGCACATACGAGTTCAGTACCATTTCATTCGTGAAAAGGTGGAAGAAGGAACGGTAGATATACAGAAGATTCATACCAAAGACAACATAGCAGATTTCATGACGAAGGCGATCAACGCTGATAAATTTACCTGGTGTCGATCCTCTTGTGGCCTTTCAGAGACGTAAGCAACATGATGGTACAAGGTAGAAAGAATGGTGTGAAGATATGATTGTTCCAATCAAATCTTCAAGTGGTAGATTGTTGAAATGTCAAAGCTTGGAAAATTGGTTCAAGTTAGGCACCTAATATTGCAATGTCAAAATTAGGTGCAATAATGTCAAAATTAGGTGCAATAATGTTTGAAAATTAAATGGGTAAATTATAAACTTTAGTCACTAAACTTTAGGGTATTTATAAGATTAATCTTTAAGTTTCAACTATAAATACCCTAGCTCATTTAGCTTCAAAACCATCCCAAAGCATTCTAGCTTTCTTCCAATACTAGAGAGATTTTAGAGAGTTTCTTGAGAGTTGTTTTCTCCTTTTTATCTAGAGAGAATTATCATTGTTTTCTCCTTGGTAGATCGAGAGAGGTTGTAATTCCTATTTTCTCATAATGAAATTCTTCTACCGTTGCCCGTGGTTTTTACCCTAATAATTTTTAGGGGTTTTCCACGTAAATTGTGTGTCTCTTTTATCTTCATTTTTATTTTCTCAAATTATCAGTTGCGATTTTGCTCTATCCGATAGCCGTCTTCCGCAACAATGTCAAGCTATGATAATAACTGTTAATGTAGGTGATTGGCATGAAGAGACCATACCCTTTCTCCTTAGACAATGCTCCAAGCCCCCCTTTCCCATAAAATATTTTCCTCCCATTGTTCATTCCATCAATGGACAGGTTGAAGCTACTTCAATTAGCAAAGCTCCCACATCCGACATCTCGAATTTCACTTTCTGTCCTCGTAACGTCAAGATTCAAACCTCGAACTTATTTCCGTACCTTCTCTTGTAATCTATACCAACCTTTTTTCATATTTGTTCAATCTCTTCCCAGGGAAGGGCCTCCATGTTCAACCTCAAATAGGGTGAGATTTTCTCACATTAGCCCCTCCAACAACTACACCAATGTGTTCAACCTCAAAATCCAAGCCCTCTATCAAATTCAAGCTTTGAAGATTGAATTCCGAAACATGGCGGCGAAGGATTAAACCGGCAGCCGCCTTACTACAGCTTCTTTCCACCACCCGCAATGGCTGAAATTGAACGAGCAAGTGCAGTAACGATGTCTAATTGCAAAAATGGAGAAGTAGCTGGACATGTTGATCTCAATTTAAAGTATTAAACCATACATATATAAGAAATGATCTCTTAATTATGGGGTATTTTTTTCATAGTTCCGTCTAGGTATAATATAGTGTAATTTTTTAATATAATATAGTGTAATTTTTTAATATAATATAGTGCAGTTTTAAAAAGCTTATTTAAAGAATTATCATTATATATATATATATATTTATTTAAAAAACTAAAGAATAAATGAGATACAAGAATTTAAAACTATGGTTCAAATCAATCTTTATATTACTTAAAAGGGTAAATTTCTCATTTAGTATCTAAATTATCAGTTTTAGAATCTTTTAGTATCTAAACTTTTAACTTTTTTAAAATTATACCTAATGTTTAGTTTTTGTTTCATTTTAGTACCTAGTCATTAAAAACGGAACTGCATTTTTATGGGTAAATTATATCATTTATCACTCAATTATCTTATCACTCCTATTATGATACTAAAGTTTAAAAATTTTCAATTTAACTACTCAACTTTCAAATTGCTCATATTTTAATCACTCTAGTTTATTTTATTAATAATTTTTGTGACATGATTTTTTTTTTATTTTTTTTATTAATATATAATTAAAAATAAAAAAATTGAAAGTTAGAGTGATTGTAATAGGAGTAATTTGAAAGTTAAGTAATTAAATTAAAAAAATCAAACTTTAATGACCAAAATGGGAGTGAGACGATAGTTGAGTGATGAATGATGCAATTTGCCCATAAAAAATGGTGCCATGTGCAAATCACCTGTTAAGTTTTTAACAATGTGGTACTAAAACGAAAAAAAAAACTAAACATTAGGTATGATTTTAAAAAAATGAAGGTTTATGTAGTAAAACTGACCAAAACTAATAGTTTAAGTACTAAACGCATAAGTTTACCCTATTAAAAATAATCAAATAAGACTAAATTTGAACTGATTTAACATTTAACTCTATCAATGTTCGAGTTTATTTGAATCTTTTTCTTATTAAAATTTGCTTATTTTTTGTCTTAATTGTGAGACTAATTCAAACTGGTCCATAAAATGAAGGGACCTGATAGGTAATTTTACCACCCAAAACAACAAAACGGAAATCATACACAAATGAGGAAACTTGAGCTTTAGTTGTTATTAGATGAAGTGTTGAACAAAGAGAAAATCAGGAGTCTCTCAGCTGAACCATGGAAATCAAAACAAGTAGCTGTCCTCTACACCAGTCGTTACATTCATCAATCTATGCGAATTACGACCAGCCGAAGACATAATCGAGAACATATACGAGCCCCAGCGAGAACGGATAAAGGATGAAAGCGACCGAACACGTCCACAGCGGGAACGTTGTTCGGAAGCTGGCGAATGCGCCCATCACAAGGCAAACGATAAGAATTACCAACACTTCCGACGAGAAATCCCACATTAATCCCCTAATGTAAACGAGTGCCAAGAAAACCGATAGGCAGAGGACGTTGTTCATCGTTACTGCCCCATAGAGCTGCATCAGAAGTCAATCGATCGATCAGTCATGTGATTGTGCCGACTTGGCTAAGCAAACAAGTGGTGTGACACGAAAACAAACCTCGGAAAATGTCAAGGATGCAGTCCTCTGCTTCTTGCGGCTGGCGAAGATGATGGCCGATACAGCTTCACTCGAATTGGTAGCCAATGGCAATGCAATGAATGAGATGAAAAATGATGGGATGCTCGTCGCCGTGGAGAAGTTGTCGACCGCGTCTACCAGTGGATCTGCAAACGCAGCTGCGATGAGGGTACCTAGTAATAACATTAGTACGGCTTTGAAGGAGATCCATTGAGGGTTTTCGACACTCTCGGTTACCTCGTCGCTTTGTTCCTCCGACCCTAACAAAGTATGTTCTATCTTTGTTTGCTGCATAAGTAATCCTCATAAGTCATTCAGTCAGCGCTAAGCTATGATCATAAAGAAGTCGTGAATGTTACACTTACCTGGTGAAAATCGTCGATAAACTTAAACGTTCTGGCATTAGGTTCACGATAATCACCCCCGGTTCGCCTTGCCTCGTAAATCCACTTTGTGATTCCTCTTATAAACTCATCCTCTTGAACGAGAGAGTCAAGGGAGGTATCGAAATCTTCCAGTACTTTTCTCACAGCATCATCTCGATCCAAGTCGATCTCTTCGAACCGGATTCCTATAATCAACGCTCTCAGCTCAGCAGGCGAAAGAGCACCATCGTGATTCTCATCAATCGTCTCAAACAACCTGTAGTTCACAGAGCACATAGATGTTAACAATACAATATACAGTGAAGAGCAAGTTCATCTCGAATCGGAACTCGAAACTCACTTCTTTATGATCTCTGCGTTCGGTTCGCCGTCATCGGTAAGAAGCCTTCCCAGAGAATGCATCTTCAAGTGCCTTAAAATTCCGGACATGACATGCTTGTGCTTCACGAAAGCAAGCCTTCTTCTCTGGATCCAAGGCTGAAACACCTGCAAAATACACATAATAAGAATGTTAAAAAGAAATATCAGGACATATGATGATGATGGAATTCCTTACCGGAAAATAATATTAACCTGATAAATGCAATACGAAACCAACATCGAGATCGAAACGATAAGCGCAATCAAAACGGCCAAGTGTCTTCCCGAAGTTGAATTGAGAATTTGTGGCAGTTGAACAATAAGAAACGGGATAACTGATATAGCCATTATCCTGGCAGCATAGCATGTCCAAATATCAGTGCTAACACCAGTTTCTGCAAAATCCGACAAGCGTCCGGTTCCGGTTACGGTTACGGATATTTAAAACGATACATTTAGAGTTTAAACTACTTGGCCACATGATTTTGGCCATTACAGGACATAATGCATGGTAAAACAAACTCAACAACTTACAGGGCCAACTAACAAAGAACAACGTGAAGCATAGGCATAGCCGTGTACCTGTTAAGCTAATCCCTTTCGTATTCGACCCGTCGACTGCAAACGAATCACGGAGATCACACCTGCCGACGACCACACAGGATCCCCATATAACCGTGAGAAGCATGACGGTGGACCCTGCCAACAACCCCATTCCAACGGAGACTTGGCCTTGAGCAGTTTCCGCCGTTCCGGAAAGTCCAGACACTGGAAGAAAACAAGAATGCCAATTAAAAACAACAGCCAGACGAACCGAGGGGAGACTCGGGCTGTAGTCCTTAAAATTTTCAAATTATCATATATTTAGATATTTTTTTTCTCTCTTAAAATTTTAGAAATTCATCTCTTTACCTGCAAACGTTTGATTCTGTCCAACAAAGATCCATATGCAAAAAAATTAAATGCATGATCCAAAAGCAGAAATGGATAAATGGATATTAAAACACTTAAACGGGAAAACATTAAACACAAAATCCAACTGACATCCTGAAAGAATGGCTAAAATATGTTGGAAGTCTATGTACCCTTTAATCATTTGAAATTTAGTCCTCCAAGATTTATTTTCAAGAAACTAATCCCTTTATTTTTCAAAAAAAATAAAAATTTAAGTATGACTGTTAACAAATAATTCTATCAATTTTCATTGATTCGACATCTTAAAATTTAAAAAAAAAAATACAAACTTGTAAGCTAAAAAAAGAGTCGGTCGCTTGGATTTTTCGAATCAAAAAATAAAGAGAATTCCTGAAAATCAAAGAGTGTAGGAATTTGGAACAACCCAGAAAGGAATTATGTTCTGAACCTGAATTTAGCTGATCTTCCATATCTAAAAGCTTAAAATTTGCATAACATTAAAGCTTATTTATATTATGATTCGAATCTCTCAGTTTCCTTAAGCAAGAAAAAAGGACGACAAGATCTAAACTTTTCGACTTTCCGCCCTTTATGATGAGCCAAACGGTGGAGAACTAAATGTATTTTTCTCGCATTTTCCGGACAAACAAACATCATGATAAAAGTTTCTGAAAAGGAAAAGAAAGGGAAAAAAAATATAACAGTTACCGAGGATAAGCATTGCATCGGGAAGAGCTCCAAGCATGGGCAAGAACAATCCTCCTACAATACCGGGACCGAGGATCTCAAGCAAAAGCTCGCTTCCATTGGACAAGTAAGTGGCGGCTAAATACATAAGGTATCCATAAACGATAATCAAAAACAAGTTTCCCAGAACCGTGGTGGTACAGGGTAAGAACCCATACGACTGCTCACACGTTTCCTCGGCCGAAACAAGCGGCTTGAGGAGGAGGTAAGGTTGGTTTTCGACGGTGGAGATCCCATCGGAGACGAGACCTGTCGGGGACGAACGGCCGGTGACGAAGCGAGCGTGTAACGAGAAAGAAGACAAACAAAAGGTGAAGATGATAAGGAGTAGGAAATGCTTGGGAGTCATTTTTCGGTAATGGGAATTTTTCTATGACATCGGAAAATGATTGAAATTTGGAGATTGAAAAGAAACGTCCGAGTATGTATATAGGAATGAAAAGTGGCTGGAAACTGGGCGAAAGTGAAGGAGTGTTTGAACCGTGTGTAAGGATGACGATGACCATGATGGGTGAAATAGTAATGGGATAAACAGAAAAAAGTTTAAGGTAAGTGTTAAGTATTATTACCAAATTATTACTTGTTAATTAATATTATTTTATACCTCATATTAAGAATAGGGATGGTAACGGTCGGATTATGGTCGAGTTTTTTTGTCAACGGCCTTCAACTTGAAAATATGTATCATTTATTCGAATTCAATATGAAAATTATATATCTTCTCTCCAATCGGACTGGAAAAATATATAAATCCACTCGATCCTGATCAAGCTCCAATTTTTAGATGAGAAAATCACCTCAGTGACCAAAAAAAAAGTTATAATATACGATTTTAACCAACTTTTTTTTGGATTTGCCAAAATGACCAACAAAATCGCAACGCGAAATAAAAATCGCAACGCGATCCCCAGAATCGCAAATCAGTTTCCAGAATCGCAAATCAGTTTCCAAAATCGCAACGCGATTCTTGAAAATCGCGATGCGATAGTACAAATTCGCATTGCGATTTTCCATAATCGCAACGC